TGGAAGGAAGGAAGGAAGGAAGGAAGGAAGGAGAAAGAAAGAAAGAAAGAAAGAAAGAAAGAAAGAAAGAAAGAAAGAAAGAAAGAAAGAAAGAAAGAAAGAAAGAAAGAGTTGCTAGAGAGAGAATCCTTATCTCCCTTACATGCTCTAATTCTGTTATGATGCCATATGCCCAATCATTTCACCTGCTGCTCCTCCCACCCCCCAGCAAAAAGTAAATCTGTAGAAGCTATGCCATAAGGTTGGCAGGAAGAGCTAAGCAAACAAACTCCAGCATCAAAAGAAGTGACCTTGACTTAAAATCTCATTGCAGATGCCAGGATGTGCCACTCAAAACAGGGGCATTATATGGCAGGGGTCATTTTTATTGCTTTCCCAGCAGCCAGAGTGACTCCAAGCCTTCCTCTTTGCAACCATGCTTGTTTGCACAGCACTTCCCCACCCCTACTGAGTGAGTCAATCTGAAAGTCACACTGAGTTTCTGTCTGGCGCTTATCACAGGACTATCAGTCTCTTGAGAAAAAAATAACAGAAGGAGGTGGATGGACAAGGTTCACAGCTCTGTTACTGAGCTGTATGACCTAAGGTGATGTTGCTTAGACCTGTAGAGATTATTGCTCACTCCAAACAGGCATAGGAGGTTGTGTGGGTGGGAGCCTGTTCCTCTACCTCCCATAACAAACAATCCCATTCATAAATTGAAATAGGCAACAACACAGCCATAGTACAATTTCCCCAGAACAATGTAATTCCCACAATTACAAAGGTAATGTATGCCAGGGTTTCTGTGTATGGGTCAGGCACTGATATCCTTTATCTGAGTAAGAGTTAACTCTCCAGCCAGGAGATTCAGGTACAAGCTCATAATGCTTCTGGTCTCATGGTCAGTATATAAAAGAATCAGCTCAATGGTCCAATTAATTATACTTTTAAGAGTGCTGGCTTCCTGGATCTGATAGCTTGTCACTTGGAAAAACTACTCAGTTGTTTCCAAACTACCAGCCTGCAATTTATAGTTCAATTTTGCCCTATCTGCTGTAGGCTGCACAACTCCAGTTTACCTATCTGTCCTTTCACCTGATATCTATCTACCAAATTAGCAAGTCCATGGCAAAAGCCATTGTAGCTTTGGAACCTTGTCCCATTGGGAAGATATGCAAGTATAAATGTTATGGGGAGTTGAATGCTCTTTCATACATGGCATATAGAAAACTACGCGCAGAAGCCTTCCTCAAGCTGGCAGGCAGGCTGGCAATTTTGGGAGTTGCAGTTCCAGCATATCAGGTTGGAGAATACTACTGTGTAAGCCCATAGGTAAAGATCATGCAAGCAATTGTTTTATTTAGTGTACATCTGTTAGGATCTTACAGATTACTACATTCTTGTTTGGTTTTCATACAGACATTTTTCCCTTCCAAACCAAAGTAAGTCAATAAAGGGAAAGCATTATATATGAAAAATAACTCAGCACGGAGAGATACCAAATTTGTATCAGAACCTCACAGCTAGTGAATCAGTGTCCATGATTGACGACGTACAGTCAAACTTCTTAGAATTCATGTAACATCTTTCTTAAGCATTTTATATATTGCTGTGACTTCAGCCAGGGGCTTTCAGATCAGAGAGCATCCTGTTCTTACTGAGATTCAGTTTGCACAACCACAAAGATGTGACAAGTGTATAGACCAAGTGATCTCAGCTGGTTCTAGCAAACAATCAAGCAGTAAGTTATTTCTTGACCACTGGCCAATCCAGGATGTAACACAGCACATATTGACCGTGGTCCTGGCTGAATATGAACTGAGTAGCAATAATTCAATGTAAGTACTGTAGTCTGAATGCAAACAGAAGTACAGTATAGACAATTTGGTAACTCTACAGCAGGAAAGCTGCTATTTCTGGATAACCCCTGCCTTCATATTTATAAAGTCAATCTGGAACTAGCTGCCCAGTTAGATCTAGAAGACCCTGCTACTTCAATCGCAATCAGAAACAAGTTAGGGAGGAAGATTTACCATAACTATTCTTCTGGCAACTTTCCCCTCCAATGTCCACCTCAAAACTAGAGGATATCCCACACTTGTCTTTCCAATTTTCAAATACGAACACCCCCGCCCCCAGCTATATTCAGTAAAAAGGGTTCTTTTTGATTTTTCAGAAGAAAATAAAGTGTACACTGGAAGAATTAGATATATAAGAAAATGCCTTAGATCAAAACTTTGTCACAGGTGAGAGATATTATCTATAATGCAGACTTTTCTCCCCAACCTGAGCACCCTCTAAATGTTGGCTCTGCAACTACTGTATCAGCTTCACAGCAATAGTCATGGTGGCTGGGAATTCTGGGAGTTGAGATCCACAGTTCAGGAGGGTGCCCAAGTTGAAGAGAGATTTTAATATGCTGGCAATGGCCCTCCAGATTTTTGCCCTTTCTGGAGATGCCAGAAACTAAACCAAGACTTTTTAAAAGCAAAAGAGGCATTCTACAAATATAGGGATGAAAGATAAACTTGAATGTTGGATAATGTGTGGTTCAGATATTAAGAGGTAGCATAAACAGCAAGATCATCAGAAGGAGAGGAACAATCTCAATATATTTTCTGGGATGGATGGATAAGCCATGTCATTCTGTCCCTTCAAGGCATAGATATCACACATTTTGAAGTGTAACAAAACCAAGCAGCATTTTGGAAAAGTCTGAACCTAGAGTCAGTCTTACCTTTTTAGGGATGAAGACATTAAGCAAAATCAAGGCAAATTTTTCAATTAGATTATGAAGCTAAAAATGGGTATACGTGTGTTTTTTCGTTCTAAAATGTACTAAATGCCATACAGCTAAAAGCTTTCAGAGTGATTTAAAATAAAAACACAAGTAGAATCCATACATACCCAAACACAACAATATAAACCAATTCAAACTGCAGTTTTAAAATAGACTCTTTCAACATAGTGCAAGGCAGAACTGCATACTAGGCCACTTCACCACACTGGAGGGGGAAGAATGGTTTCTATATACCACTTGCCACTCCTCTTCTCTAAATCTGTTGCCTGGCAGTAAATATAACAGATATACACTTTGCCCTGTGTGGCAGGAAAGAAAAAAAAAGCTAAGCCTTGCTAACTTAGTTAACAGAAAGCTTTAATGATTAGCTGGGCTTGCTAATCAAAATCACAGCTTGTAATAAACCCTCATATGCTGCTGTTGGATGACAAATGCGTTTTGCTTTCTGGTTTAACCATATTGAGAAAGCTGTATTTTTCCACCCTCATGCAACTGCACCTGGAGAGGAAGCCACAGGTAAAGAAACAAAATCTATTTCCATGTTAAGATATTTTGTAGACCACTGAAAATAACCTAACAACAGAAGATGATTTGACTTCTACTAAATGGGCATAGCATCCATCCTGGCTAAAAAAATCAACCACCCCATTCTAATCTTCTAAATACTTTAATCAGACAAAGACTTCAAATAAAGGAACTCCTTAGAACAGTATTAAACTGAATCTACCTCTTTTCTCTCCCAGTGCCTGTATCCCAAAACAAACATTATTTGCCATTTATTTACTACAAAAGCTACATACCCATACTTGATCATTCCTTCCTGATAAATGTTCATGTTAAAACACATATACACACAATATACACAAAACAGAGAGATCTGCCTGACTTAAAACATTAAATGACTAGGGCTCCACAAAGTCCTTAGGGAAGTTATTCTGTTTGATTACAAAAATAAGCAGAGATGCTATGAAGCTATGCAAGTACATTTCCAACAACCCACCACCCTTCCTGGCCCTTCTGCCTTTAACAGCCTCACTCCTACCCAAATATTCCTCACTTTCACTCTATCTTTAGTTCTCTTCCTATACTTCATGCAATCTATTCCCTGCTGATTGGCCTTTTTCTAACTGTACAATCAACTCTCATGATTAAGGAAGGGGTGGGAAACATGTATGATAAGTTCTTGAGTCAATTTAACAAATCTTGCTAGAATCCTGAGATATTTCAGCTTTCATTTTCAACCATGTTTCTAACATGTTGTAAACAAAGAACAACCCCCACCCCCAGCTTACATATGTGATGGTAAAAAGGTCTTCTGCAGCAAACAAATACATTATTCTTTAATTACTTCAAATCACACTGCCTGTGTGTTAGTGAAGAGGAAGTTTGCTGCAGGTAGCCAATCAGAATAAGATAAAGGTTTTCTATGCAGAATTGCTAGTTTCCCTGGGCACAGAGCCCAGTTTTTATTTAACTTCTGAGCACAGAGAATTGCGATCCATCCATTAGCCTTAACTATGTTCTCAAACTTCCATAAAGAGCTAGTATTCAGTGCTCATGGCATAAATTTGTCGAGTTTATGATAAATCAAAATAATGTGTTTCATAGCTGGATATCAAAACATTACCAATAATGCGACCATGGCAGCTGCAGTAGCATAGCACAATCACGTTAGTGAAAGGCCTCATGGCTGCATTCACACAGCATGTTAAGTTTAATGACTCAATGTGTTGTGCAAATTTACAAATGGGTTAATCCAATAACAGTTATGGATGTTGTATGAATCTAGCCCATATATACTAATGCATCTATTAGAGGTCTAAAAGAATATGATGATTTTATTCCATTTATTTGAATTTATTAGCTGCCCAACTCCAGTGCACTCTGATTAAAAGAAAACCATTTCAGACAAAGATATTGAAAACACAATAGTGGGAAAGCAGTGCTTAAACTTTTCTCTGTCCCCAGCTTTCTGAAGTGGCTGCCCTTCAAGGATTTCAATGTTATATTTATAGGGGCCAGCCTTCATAAGGGACCATTTTGGAAGGCTGATCTGAGAAATGGTGGGCAGGAAAAGAAACAAATATCTCCTTCCATACGACTTTTCTAGTTACTTCAAATTGATTCCCCTCTGAAATGCTTTTAAAAAATAGGGGGGAGAGTATTAAAGTTCTAGTGTATATATTTGTGCCTAGATAATATTCAAGCCAGCCTTTATATGTAATCATAGCAGTATAAAAGTTAAGCCCCTTCGCTTAGTCTTAAGCAAACAGAATATGGATGTGAATATCAGAACTATGTAGATGATTAAACGAGCCATTCCCTCCCACCTATATATGCATGCATCCAACTGGTTTAGTACATGCCAACATTTCAGCCAGTTAACAGTTAGTGGTTATCTGAATCTGCCTCTAAATTCCTGCACTGTATTTCTGCGCTTTCACGGGCTGTGACTGTGCAGAAGAAGCTAACTGATAACCAAGAAATGGAGCCAAATTTCCTGCGCATCATTTCCACCAAGCTTCAGTAAACCTATCTTTACTTTGTATTTCTAGCCCATAAGACTTACAAAGCAAAACCTTGCTTCAGGATGTGTCTGAAGACACACAGTTCTCTGACTGACGGATTCATGTATACTCAGGGACTGTTCAGACACAACACTGCAGAAAATATGTAAACAAACAAACAAATCAGTATCAAACTAAATTCCAGGCGGATAGTGCCAACCTCACCTGTAGAGCCATTTGGATCAATTATTATGTTAAAAGGTGACAGAGGTGCTCTGTTCAACCAATAAGGGGAAGGGAAGGCTCCTAAGAAATGGAGCCGATGGGTTTTATTAAAATATTCTATTCCTCTCCAGAATTCAAGCACAGTCTTGTGCGGAGAAGCTCGGAGTAGTTTCGGGGGGCAGCCTGTTCACCATCCGTGCATTTCAGGGCCAAAGGGGAAAAAAAAGTATAGCCTAGAACTAAACAAAATCACTCATGTGGGAAATTCAACAGAACAGTCCAGGATTTCTGGACTGAACAGTAGGGAGCAATTTTGACTGTAGATAAATAATTTAAAAAAATAGACAAGACACGTATAAAATAAAATAGTCTATAATTATAACGTAGAATATAGTTATCCAAGAATGGGAGAACATCACAGAATGCTGTGGAGCCAATAGAACCTTGAAATAGAATCACTAGCTGGAAAAATCCCTAAATACGAACTTCAGACAGATGGCTTACTTGTGCAGGGAATTGCTAGTATGTTCTGAAAACACAATATTCCTAAAAGAAAAGCCCTACTTTAGAAAATATGTGTCAGCCTTCCCCTCTCCTCTCCTCTCCTCACCCCCACCCCTACCAGATTAGCAACTGCATATTTATTGCACAGTAATAAAACAATCATCTGGAAGGGTCCTCTAGGCACCAGATCCCAGACTGTGAGTCAGCGCCCCACTCTTGCCCCACCAAAATCAGTGGATATTTGAACACCCCCCAAGCAGTTCTAAAAGAAAGTGTGTGCTGAGTGAGCTCCTTTTTATTTGTCTGCTAACCACCAAAGCAAAAATAGGGCTGCCAACTGGTTGAATTATTTTTTTAATTAACTGTGCTACTTTAATTGACTAATTGAACAATTAAGAGATTAAAATCTTGCAATTATTACCCCAGATTCCCCCAGCAGCCTCACAGCTATCTCACACCCTGTGGAGCTTGGTCATCTGTTTCTACTTCATGAAACAAAGGGTGTACACCCTAGAAGCTCCTTCAATGTTATACTCTCCCAACAAATACCTTCCCTGTGTTATTCTATGTTTAGCATAGAATAATAGCATCAATAGTATGCATATGTATATATGATAGAATGAAAAAATATATTTATATTTAGCTGGCAGAATATAAAGTCCTTTAACTTTGATTTAACCAAGGCAACTGCAGTTCCTTTTGAAATCACCTGTGGAAATTCTTGAGAGACATCAATTCTTGCCTCTGACAAATATAGTTCACACTCTTTTTGAACTAAGGACAGGTAGCCCTATTTTGTGTCATGGGAACCAAATGGATGGTAATACTTTTGACAGGAACAAGGTCCCTCCCTGTACCTGGGTAAACTTCCCTGTCATCTTAATGTTTTGCTGATTCCCCTTTCTCCCTTTGAAGGCAGGTGCCCATCCTTCATAACTGCTCAAGAATACAAGTTCTACAATTAAAATGAAACCCTATTTCCAACCTGCCCTGTTCCATAATGCAGAATGACCAGCAGATCATACTTCATGGTATGGCACTAACAAGGTACTGGATACAGCACAGTTAGTAAGCCAGTATTGAGGAATCAAAAAGCACCACTGAAAGCACCACCAGGGAAGAGGGAGACTTGATGTCCTCACTGGCAGAAGTCACAAATTAACTTAAAAAAATATGGAGGTTGCTGAGTTAGCTATACAGGTAGTCCTTGACTTACGACCACAATTAGGACCAGAACTTCTGTCACTAAATGATGCAGTTGTTAAGTTAGTTGTGTCCACTTTTACCACCTTTTTGCTGTGGTTGTTAAGCAAATCACATGGCTTCCCCCACTGACTTTGCTTATTGGAAGCACCCTGGGAAGGTTGCAAATGGTGGTCATATGACCACAGGATGCTGCAACGATTGTAAATACATGCCAGTTTTCAATCACGTGACTGCAGAGACACTGCAACAATCATAAGTGAGAGGGCCAGTCATAAGTCACTTTTTTCAGCACCGTCATAACTTCAAACAGTCGTTAAACAAATGGTCATAAGTCGAGGACTATCTGTATGCTGGTGCCAAACATTTGGCTGGTTAGTATCATCCATTATGGAACTTTGATATCACAACCCAAGTCTATAATGAGGAAAGCTACCTAGTCAGCAGCTACATGATAAAACAGTACAGACCTACCAATTCCCATTTCTCTGCTGTGATGTCCTATTGATAAGGCCATCAGATTTCCCTGACCTTTATTTGCCACTCAGCACTGCAGGGACTTACTTCCCAAAACACCTCTTCATCACTTTTGCTGGCTGGATAAAGGCATCAAGGCAAAGATTCTTGTTCATCTTGCTACATCTATGCAGTGCTGCCTGTGACCCTAGAATGTTCCCTCCTCTCCATCTGATCCAAAAATCCAAGACATCTGCATTAAGTATAGAAAGCAATTTTGGATTTTCCTTTCTCTGTCTTGGCTCCATTTGCCTGGTTGCCCATTCATCTCATAGCCTTCACTTTTTGCCCTGTCCTCCAGACACAAAAATGAATTGAAGGAACCACAGAATAACTTTCTGGGTCTAGAGACCAAGTTTCATGTTACGGATTCCCCATGCAAAAGTAATCTGTGTACGAAACTGCAAATAATTTTACACAAGTAGTTAGATACAATCATACAGCTGTGGAAGCTGTCACTGACCAGAGCAAAAAGCTTTATAAAAGCAAAACGTGGCAATCTGTATGTAGACTTTTCTATAACTGCTGCTAATTTCCACATAGAATCTCAATATGTGAAATTATG